TGCATATATTCGTGGAATGTTTCCGATGATTCAATATTATTGCATTAATTCACATGCGCGTAGATGTTAGCTGTGGGAGCAAACCAAAACACCCGGAGAAAACCCACGACATTTAACCCTACTCCTTATCATGTACAAGCGAGAAATCGGAACCACGCCATTTGACATATTTGACAGACCTTATAGTTCAATTTTATTTCAATAATTCACTTGTGTGTAGAGGTTAGCTGTGGGAGGAAACCAAAAGACACAAAGAAAACCCATCCTACCCCCTATCATGTACAAGCGGGAAATCGAAACCACGCCACTTGATTTATTTGACAGACCTTCTGATCTAACGCACACGTGTTAAACCATTTTAATACCAGAGAAGGAAAATAACCTTCAATAATCAGTTTTCAAACAAAATGAAACTAGAGCAAAATTATAAATATCACAAATTGCATACTGTGTTACGAGCTGCAGGGGATCTGTCACCATAACCTGGATATCATTTAATCTTGTGTATTTAGCACTAATTTCTTTCACTCTAAAAAATCGTTTAAAATCACCAGAGATCATCAAAAATTAATCATTATACACCAATAATCAATTGGGTTGTTTATTTTTAACAGTGATCATGAAATTAAATACTTGTAAATTGGACTCTCATTATCAAAATTGAATGGTTAGCTTTAAACTGGACACAAGTACAAATTAGATGATTTTTGTTGATTTTAAACAATTTTTTCAAGTTTTTAAACAAAGATTTGATATTGAATGAACGTGAAAGAAATTAGTGCTAACTACACAAGATTAAATGATACCCGGGTTACAATGTGTGTGTGTGTCGTATTGCAATATATCGATTTCAATTTTTTTGACATCCCTGCTTACAAAGAGAAGTCAGGTTGGTTTATGCATGGTCGGAATTTCTATATTTGTCTTTTCATCTGGAATGTTACGTCTTTATAATTGTTGACTTTATTTATGAGCAAAAAACTTCAAACAATTTTTACAATTGCTGCAATTACACGAAATATATAATTTTTTTCTTTTCTTTTTTTCAGTAATCAGTAGGTACATTACATATTTTTCAGTAATCAGTAGGTACATTACATATTTTTCAGTAATCAGTAGGTACATTACATATTTTTCAGTAATCAGTACGTACATTACATATTTTTCAGTAATCAGTACGTACATTACATATTTTTCAGTAATCAGTACGTACATTACATATTTTTCAGTAATCAGTACGTACATTACATATTTTTCTTGAGTAATTACTTCAGTCTTGATTTTGAATTTTCAAAGAAACAGATTTCTTCATTCAATTAAAACTACGAGATTAAAAACTTTATCAGTATCCGATTTAAAAAGGAAAATATCACTGATACTATACTATCTAAATTAAATCAATTAATTTTAGTTTTTCCATTTCCCACAAACATCCCACAAACACTACACTTCATTCCTTTTCTCTGTTTTTATGTTTTAACTTTCAGATGTTCGTAAGGATTTCTGATTTATTTCCTCGATATCTTGAACTGACTCAATTAACAATTTTGCTATTTTTGTCATCTGAAGTTTCACTCAAAAGCCTAATCACTTATTTCTAAAGTAGATGCAACATAGCAGCCTTTTTTTTCCTTTAATTGAATAAGAGATTCAAGTAAAACAAACGGAAATGTTAGTTTACATTTATATGTCATCAAAAACTTATCACATCACAGAATCTACATCTACATCTGAAGGCAAAGAATTTCAACAAAGTATAAAATAAGAGAGAGAGAGAGAGAGAGAGAGACAGAGAGAGAGAGAGGTTTAACCTCCACTCGACACAAACTAGGTAATTTCGGGAATAACATATGGCTCAATTATTATTTCAATAATTTGCTTGCGCGTAGGGGTCTTTAGCAGTGGGAGGAAACCGGAGGACCCAGAGAAAACCCACAAGGTTGGACAGGCGACCCTACTCCCTGTCACGTACAACCATTGAATCCAAACAAAGCCTCAATGACAGACCGTATGATACCATTCGGCCATCCAACCCCCTTAACTACAAGTTAATAGTATCACCGGCAATATCTTTAAAATACCTAATGAGTATTAATTACCATGGCGATATTTGAAAGTATAAAATACCAGATAATAGTATCACCAATATCTTTAAAATACCTAATTAGTATTACTTATTAATTACCATGGCAATATTTGAAGACATATATTGAAAGTATAAAATACCAGCTAATAGTATCACCAATATCTTTAAAATACCTAATGAGCATTAATTACCATGGCGATATTTGAAGACATATGTATAAAATACCAGCTAATAGTATCACCAATATCTTTAAAATACCTAATGAGCATTAATTACCATGGCAATATTTAAAGACATATGTATAAAGTACCAGCTAATAGTATCACCAATATCTTTAAAATACCTAATGAGCATTAATTACCATGGCAATATTTAAAGACATATGTATAAAGTACCAGCTAATAGTATCACCAATATCTTTAAAAAAAACTAATGAGCATTAATTACCATGGCGATATTTGAAGACATACATGTATGTTGGCCATCCAACCCCCCTTTATTTACTTCAAGTTAATAGTATCACCAATATCTTTAAAATACCTAATGAGCATTAATTACCATGGCGATATTTAAAGAAATGATATGATGACTACAAAAGAAAACTTTAATTTTAATTTCTTTTTTTTTTATTTATTTTTACCATGAGTAATAATTGCCTGGGGTCAATATTTGAAGATATGATGATAACAATAATAACATGAAATGTTTTTTTTTTCTTATGAAAGCCTAATAAATCATAATTTGTACTTGGTTAACATGACAGAAGTCCAATAAAACAAGACATTTTTAAAATTATTGACAAACAAGGGATAACATTTATTGATTATACTGTAAACATTTGGAGAGAGAGAAAAAGAGAGAGAGAGAGAAAAAGAGAGAGAGAGAGAGAAATGGGGTTTAAGGTCCACATGATTTATGTTAAAATCTCAAATCCAGTTTATCTTATACATGTACATACAATGTATGGAAAATAATTAAAATTTCAACACAAAATAATCAGTGAAGTCAGCTACATGTAGTTTAGTAATTTTAGTTTTCGGCTTAATCTGTCGACAGTGGAACACAAAATGGGCATTATTTCAACTTTGACTATATCTGTTGATCTAAGATTAGCATTACCAAATGACATGACGCCAAAGTGAATGACACCGTTATTTTGGCAAAAAGTTGTCTGAAGACAATTGCCTAAAGCTACCTCAATTAATAATGAATGAAATCATCTAAATTTTAAATACTGTATTAACAATAGAATCAACTTTGTAATGATACCAAACATGTCAACTTGTTTTTATTGATGACATATACCTTTTGGGAAGTTGAGCCATTTTGTTTAGTGAAAATACCACGTCAAAATATGTACCGTCTTACCGTTGAGCGGTCACCTCAAAATAGCTTGGGTTTTCTCTAAGATTTTAAACGCAAATAGATACTCACTTCCAATACAAATGAACATATCAAATTCAATCAAATCAACACCTTTGTTTTTTTACTCAAATCAAAGAACTCTAGTCATTGAAATTTGAGTAGAAGCACTGAGAAAAGAAAAGTTATGTATGCCCCTGGCCATGAATACAGTTAGAAAGTAATACTATATACTCAGTCATTTTCCTGTCATGTTCTTCTCCCATTTATGAAGTTATAGATTTACAAATTAGAATTAGAAATCTTACAAGTAATGTCTTTTATATCTCCAGAGATTACCGTCTACATACAAAACAAGTCTATTTCTTAAATATGGGGCAACAACAAGCAAAGAGTCTATTTCTTAAATCTGGGGCAACAACAAACAAAAAGTCTATTTCTTAAATCTGGGGCAACAAGCAAAAAGTATATTTCTTAAATCTGGGGCAACAACAAAACAAGTCTATTTCTTAAATCTGGGGCAACAACAACAAGTCTATTTCTTAAATCTGGGGCAACAACAAAACAAGTCTATTTCTTAAATATGGAGCAACAACAAGCAAAAATTGTACGGATTTTGAATGATGTTAGTTTCTTAAGAACATATAAATTGTTTGTTTTTATGAACAAATGAATGAATAAACAATCAAATGAATGAAAAGTAAATGGAGTTTAAAGATACATTACCTCGTACAAACTGGGTGATTTGATGATATATTTGGACTAAAAACATATTCAAACTAATTAATTGATCATAATTTTGCTTAAAATCGTTCTCAAAACATTGTAATTGCCAAGGAATACCCCTGCTATAAAAAATCGACCAAAAGAGAGCATGTTTGTGTCACATGACTTACCTCTCTCGGTACTTATAGCAACGGGTGTGAAGTCGAGGAGAATTCATTGCATACACAAGACGATGTTGTCTTTAATTGCTGACTATTTATAAAAATATCGAATCCTAATTAAATTTTCGGATTATCCACTGCCTGCGTCTTTTTCCGTGATTTTTATCTCAGAAAGTGTTGTACGTATAACTCTTCATAAAGTTTATCAACATGTACATCAAGCGCTCATCTCCGCGTGCAACCTTTGACGTCACACATGCAGATATTCCTAATCGTCGGGCTGTCGATTAGGGGAACCCTTACATTTTTGTCCTATATACGCTCCATGGGTGTTTTTCAGGGAATCCAGTATTTTTCTAGTAAGATTGGACATCTCTACTTTCCATATATACCAAAATTGCCATACTTTTATTGGAAATAACCACCCGATAAATACTCTTCTGGGAACCTATCTTTAAGTTGAAATCAGTGCCTTGAAAATCTGTCTACCTGGATCGCTTAAGAATTTAACAGATTTCCAATCCATACACAGACTGAATTTGATGCCTTACTTCCAAGCCAGGCTTTAGGACAGCAATAAATTAGAATTTGATCATATCATTTCATGTTCTGCGTGGCATGAAATTGAAAACTTGACAATATTAAATTTCTAAAATATAACTTACCGACATCTGATGAGTTCTGTTTTCTATGTCCATTTTCATCGTGATCCACAGGCTGACTGGTTAACATTAAAACTGAAATACGAGCGACAACATTCGTTCGTTCTTTATGATCACTGTATAACTTTAGTTCTCGATCAACACATCTTTGTAACACCTACAAATATATAAATATGACTTTTACAAAAATTTCAAGGCAATAAAATTTGCAAGAAACATCTTGACTTTTAAATATTAGAAGAAAAAAAATTGCTCTGATCATAACATGCCCTTTTATGGTGTTTTTGAAAATGTTTGATTGTCTCTTTTTAGACCGTAGGCTCAGTGCGGGGGAGGGGGGGGGGGGGGTCTCCATCAAATGGGCACAATACCAGACCCAACTGTTCTAGAGTAAAATTTTTCGTAGAATACGATGCCAAGTGGTAATCAGTCCACCGTTTGGGGCGTTTTCGAGATATTCGGGGTCAAAGGTCAAATGAGGTCATTTGCACTGAAAGTGAATGCGCAGCCATTCTTATATCATGAAAACATGCTGAAAATGATCGAGAGTAATCACTCTTTCAATAAAAATGTGGATTTGCTAAATTCACCCCAGGCTATTTGATTTAATCAAATCAATATGGTCTTATGTACATGTATATCTTCTTTGATTGGCATTTAGTAATTGAACATATTAACACAAGGTACAATTTTATGGATACACAATGGGCGATTAAGGTTAGTGGACCTCTTGTTTAATGGATCTCCAACTGAATGGATGACAGGCATTGGGATCTAAGGTGCATGTGGTTTTGATTCCCCGCTTGTACTGTGTACGTGACAAGGAGTAGGGTCACCTGCCCAACCTCATGGGTTTTCTCCGGGGCCTACGGTTTCCTCCCACTGCTATTGGATGTAAAAAAAAAAGATATCTTTAATTTAATATAATTTATTTTCCTGCATGGCTCATACAAGCTTATTAACATAGTTAATATTGGTGGTTAGATTCATAAGATTTGATCCCAAAATATCAAAGGAATAAAAATCTTTAATATATTTTGTTTTCCTGTATGGCTCATATAAGCTTATTATCCCTAGGGTATGATGAATCAGCTGATTTCATTTCCGGTTTTATAGTTTGTTTTCAATCATGTCTCATATATATAGTAAAACAGTTAAAATAACTAATCTCTATTTTATTTTTAACCACAAATGAACGAAAATGCGTCTAAAAGCACATATTATTTTAATATGAGTGTATATATATGTAATCCTTATAAGACATACATGTATAGAGGTAGATTTCACAAATTAAAAACATTTATATGGATATACTACTTCTGGATTTAACATGCTACGTTTCGATACACATACAGTCAGATATCGTTATCAAGCAAGTAATTTGCTTGATAACGATATCTGTATGTGTATCGAAACGTAGCATGTTATTAAATTTAGAAGTAGTATATCCATATAAATGTTTTTAATGAGTGTATATAGATTGATTTACAATCATTTTTAAAATTTTTATTGTAATTTCTAATCAATTATGTTCGCTAAAATACATGAGCAGTCCAAATTGAATAACAGTCACTCACACCTGCTTAGTCCACTTGGGAGTACAGTTTGACCGTTAACTTTCACACTGACGATTTGGGTCATTCATCAAGGTACCTAATTACAAATGGCATTTGAGAGCAGACTGTACATTCTTCACATCATCGTGTCTTAAATATTGGATATCAGGAGCCCATATGTTTACGGTTAGATTTATAACAACAATTGGAATGGACCAATTATTTGTGTTGGTGATGTGATACGCTGTTTGTAATGTCGAGGACTGTAGATAATATTGAGTTAGAAATGAAATGGCCTTTAACGTCCTACTGTTCTACACTGATTAGACTAATGAAGACAGGTATGAAGTTAGAACTTAACAGGCCTTTAATATTGATGGCTAGAAATGAAATGGGGTTCAACATTCTACTGGGCTAATGAAGACGGGCATATGCTATACAGTGTCCTATGAGGGAAGTTTTGCCAGGGCAGCAGCACTATGACCTACTCTTGAATAAATATTGAATTCCAACTGCCAAGGGATCTTTTACATGCACGCCAATGTATACACAGGACTTGATGGCTAGAATCAGCTGATATAATACTACTAGTATTATTACACTGTAACCAAGGTATCATTTAATCTTGTGTATCTAGCACTAATTTCTTTCACATTCGTTTAATTTCAAATCTTTGTTTAAAAATTCGTAAAAATCGTTTAATATCACCAAAAATCATCTAATTTGTACTGGTGTCCAGTTTAAAGCTGACTGATTAATTTTGATAACGAGTGTTCAATTTACAAGTATTTAATTTCCTGACCACTGTTCAAAAATGAATCATTATACATGTACAACAATTGAGTTGTTTATTTTTTAAAGGGAATTGAGAAATTAAACACTTGTAAATTGGATACTCATTATCAAAATTGAATGGTCGGCTTTAAACTGGACAGAAGTACAAATTAAATGATTTATGGTGATTTTAAACAGTTTTTATGAATTTTTATACAAAGATTGGATATTAAACGAATGTGAAATAAATTAGTGTTAGAAACACAAGATTAAATGATGCCTGGGTTACAGTGTTAGTTGTATATTGTCATCTATATGTATATATAACTATTATATATATAAGCTATAGTTAATATTGGTACATAGAATCAGCTGATATAATAATTATGTACATGTATTATTGATATTGTCATCTGTATATCTTATTATAATATAGTTAATATTGGTGCCTATAATCAGCTGACGTGATAATACTACTGATGTGATAAATTATTAAAGGAGTTTAATCGCTAATATATTTGGGATCTAGATATTGACAAGAAATGAGTCTCAACACATATAATAATGTAATCTGAATGTATATTCAATAGTTTCTGTTTTTATTCTAATTTCAAATCAATTAAGTTCGACGAGATACACCAGAAGTCTCAATTGAGTGGTAATCTCTAGCATCTGGTTATTCTAGTCTATTGCGCATGCTCTCCAGATAAGAATATTGCGTCACCATTTGACATGATTTAAGGAATGTCTAGCCTCGATCTTTCTTGTCCCTTGTTACAAATGGCGCTGAAACGCATTATGGTACACAAATGGTAAAATGTTTATTTTGTTTTAAATTATTGGATATCAGAAACACATCTTTTCCCGGCATGATCACAACATCGATGTTGATTTAAATTGACAAATAATTCGTGTTTTCAATGTGAAAGACTTTGGATTATATTGAGTTAGAGATTTAGCTACTTTAACAAGCCAACAGTGAGGCTGATGTCCCCTGCCGAAATAGGACACATATAAATTTATCACAAATTATCTTTTACAAAGTATTGAACAATCAAACAGTATATCTTTACTTATAGTCTAACAATCAAAGTAGGAGAGTTATTGTTTTCCAAAGTCTCGACCAATCAAATTGCGTATCGCTCTGCTTACCCTGAGCAGAAAATGCTCATTATCAAACTTAGTCAAGGTATTACTGTAATGAAACTATACACCAAGTTTCATCAATCTCACTTAATTAGAACTAAAGTTATCGTGTCCCAAAGCATCAACCAATCAAATTGCTTATCTCTGCTTACCCTAAGCGGAAAATGCTCATCTTCGAACTCCATCAAGGCATTGACCTAATAAACACATACACCAAGTTTGAACATTCTAGCTCAATTAAAAGTTATCGTGTCCCAAAGCATCAACCAATCAAATTGCTTATCTCTGCTTACCCTAAGCGGAAAATGCTCATCTTCGAACTCCATCAAGGCATTGACCTAATAAACACATACACCAAGTTTGAACATTCTAGCTCAATTAAAAGTTATCGTGTCCCAAAGCATCAACCAATCAAATTGCTTATCTCTGCTTACCCTAAGCGGAAAATGCTCATCTTCGAACTCCATCAAGGCATTGACCTAATCAACACATACACAAAGTTTGAACATTCTAGCCCAATTAGGAAGAGAGTTATCGTGTCCCAAAGCATCAACCAATCAAATTGCTTATCTCTGCTTACCCTAAGCGGAAAATGCTCATCTTCGAACTCCATCAAGGCATTGACCTAATAAACACATACACCAAGTTTGAACATTCTAGCTCAATTAGGAAGAGAGTTATTGTGTCCCAAAAAGTGTGACGGACAGACAGACAGACGGACGAACCCATTTTAATAGTCCCCTGCTTTCTTCGAAAGGCGGGGGACAATAATACTAGTATTAATTAGTAGTAGTAGTATGCAGACATCTGACTATAATATAGAAGTTTTATAACACAGTTAATATTGGTGCCTAGAATCAGCTGATATCATACTACTAGTATTATTAGTTGTAGAGTATACTGACATCTGTATCTGACTATAGTATATGAGATGTTACTGGAGGTCAGATTCCTGGAATATTTCTACAGTACCTGTTGATGGCAACAATCACTAAGATGTTTACCTGTCATGTCAGATAAACCACCAGCATAAAAAAACAACACTTTCTCAATTAGTTTCTTTCTCATTAACGCATTTACAAACAAAAATGTTGTTCTATCAGTGTTTCACAAACAGGTCTGGAAATAACTTTCAAATGTCTGTCTGACATAGGCCTATACTAATTTATTAACATCAGTCTCAAAAGGAAACAATACGACAGTGAAAATTCCTAGATGGCTGAAATTAGCATGCACGTAGGGGTCTTGAATTAGCAGTGGAAGCAAACTGAAGGGCACAGAGATAACCAATGAGGTAGGACTGGCGATCCAACTCCTTGTCATGTACAAGTGGGGAATTGAAACCACACCTCTTTACTCAATGACAGACCTTATAATCTGTTGTGTTAAACCAATAGGCCATACAACTGCACCTGTCAGACATGATGTACATTCAAATGTTCGGTCCGACACAATAAAAACACCACTTTCTCAATTAGGTTTTTTTCTTATTAAAGCATTTTCAAACAAAAGCCTAATAATTTAGTAAATTTTACGGTAACTGGGGTTTTTTTTCAGACTTGAGACTGGCCACTCTATACTATAAAATCATTTAAAGATATTTGCCTTAGTATACATATATTATTGTTTATAAAAACATACATTATGCAAGAGCTAAATCTACCTATTGCAGGTCTTTCTT